TCCGGCCTTTCCCCTCCCCTCCCTCTCTCTGTGTGTGGGTTTGAGGCAGTTGCACATCCATCGGCGCATCTCGTGCCGATCTCCTCTCCGTCAGGGCTCCGAGTGCTGCAGACCAAGGTACACACCGAGGGCACGAGGGAAACAGTTGATTGCGCACATGTCTCAACATCCACACACGTGCATTGCCTCCATCTGCTGTGCCTCCCTGTCTGTGTGCCCTCAGGTTGGTGCGGATCTCGTCCCACCCGCCACTGCAGCCCTCCCCCTCGCTCAGCAGACACTACCACCACCACCACCGCCACCACCACGGCGCCACGATGGAGAACCTGCCACCGTATGCCACCGGTCGACCGCTCTCTCGGCTGGCGGAGCAGAAGGAGAAGCAGCAGAAGGAGGCCAAGGAGGCACCCCAGCAGCCCGAGAAGAAGGAACGCAAAGTAGATCTGCTAAAGCGGAAGAAGGCGACAGGTACCAATACCCATGACACACCCAGCCGAAACAACGAGTGGGTCCGACCCGATGGATTGTGTGTTCCCATCCGTTCAATCTTTCTTTCAGGTGCCCCGTCTGCGTCTGGTCGTCGAGCCCCGGCGTCGGCATCTGGATCTGCATCTGCTGGTGGGGGTCGGCTTGGCGGGCGTAGCGGCCGCGGCGGTGACGTCGAGGAGATGGAGGTGGGTGCCTGAGGGGCGCAGACGGCCGCGAATAGGTGTTGGTTGCATTTTTGTGTGGTGTTGTCCTGGCTGTGTGGGTCATTCAGGATGTCGCTGAGGTCAATCCGGAGGAAGAGTTGGCCAAGCTTCTGGCCAAGGTGGAGGCGCACCTCGATGAACTCCTGCACACATGACGTGGTGTTGTGTATTGATGCCATCAGTTTCGTAGGGTGGATGAGTTGATCAAGGCCGCCCCCGAGCCCCAATCGCGGGAACATCAAGACCGCATGAGCGTGAGTGACAGCGACACCACACACACTAACGCACTTTCCTCTCTCCATCCACGTCCGTGTGTGTGTGTGTGTGTGTGTTGTTCAGGAGGTTGATCGTCAGTACCGCGTCTTGTCGAGCATGGTGTGCGCCGACGCCGGCAAGCATTTCCGCACACTCGACGCCATGGAACACACACTCAACGACACCGAGCAGGTCAGCACAACACAACACAACACAACACAGCACAAACACAGGAAGGCCATCGATGAGATTCCATTCATCTCTGTTTGGTCTTCTCTATCTTCAGTTCAAGTCTTCGGTTAAGAAGCAGCGGCTGGCGGACGAGAAGGGCAAGGGCGAGACGGCGGGCGGCGGGAGGGATAAGGTCGAGGCCATCCCGCCACGGAGAAAGGTCAAGTCGTCGCGTGGGTCCAAACCATCTGCCGCAGCACCTGCAGCAAAGCCAACAAAGGTAGACACAGAGAGAGGACTCGCGCATTATTGGTGATGACTGGTCTCACGTGGGATGGTTGATATCAATCAGGCTGCTGCTGCTGGCCCATCCTACTGTTTGGTTAGCAAGAGTGGGCGAAAGCCGTCCGTCAACCATGAGCCGGTAAGACAAACACAGACAAACACCCCATCCATCCATCCATCCACCACACAGCATTTGTCACTGATCCATGACGTGCTGATGCCCTCTCTCTTGGCATCTCAGGCCTGTCGCCGTCTCTCTCGTGAGGAGTTGGCCAACGTGTTTGCCTACCTGCAGCCATGGGAGCTGGCCCGCCTCCGACGGCACCTCGGCAAGGCCCTCTTCCACCAGTCGGCCGCCAACTACACCCACCTGGTCATCGACTGCGAGGACGAGACGGCGCGTCAGATGTGGGCGGCCATGCCACTGGCCACCGCACACAAGTGGGGCCAGCGGATGACGCATTTGAATCGTTTGAGGGTCCGCGCGCCATTCGACCGCCCTGGCTGGGGTCTGGGTAAGTCTACGCACCCACCAGTGCAGCAGAAGTGCATGCCTCACTCACCTTTCTGTGCTATCGTGGATGCGTTCTG